TGTGATTTCAGTTGCATTATATTCTGATAGAGATTTTTGTAATTTCTGATATATGTATTTTTTAATATATTTCAATAAAGATTTATGAAATTATCGTACTTTAAAAAAATAAATAATAAAATAGATCATTTGCAAAACAAATGAAATTAAAAAAAAGAAATTAATTAATTATCAATAATATCATAATATCAACACAGTAAACAAAATAACCATTTACCATTATCTCATTCAATTTATTATAATTGGAAATTTATTTACTATCATTAGATATATCAGGATATTAATTGTTTTTATTTCTTAAATAATAGAATCAAAAATCTCGTTATAAATTTATTGTTAATACTTACTAACTATTTAGTATATTTAATTTTATTAATCAAATTTAAAAACTTTTACTTTTTAAAAAGGGATTTGAAAACTCTCTATATTTTTATATAATCAAATCTGAAGTTTATCTATCAAAAATTCCATTATCAAAAAAACCTTCACGATTTGATAAGGCCTTTATAATAGAAAGAAGGGAAAACTCAATTTTACTTTTATATATCAAATATGATTTTTAGGTTGAAATATGTTCAAATTTAGCATTAACTTATTTTTTATTTTTTTGGTAGTTTATCCTTTCTATTGCAAAGACCTATATGTCTAAAACCTTATCTAAAATATTTAAAAATCTTAAAAATAATACAGGTAAGTTCTTTAGCTACCACAATTTGAAGCAGATGTTACTTAGAGAAGTACAAACCTTTTTTAGATAAATCTATTAGCTAATCAGCTATTTCATAAAGGAGGGGGATGTCAGTTGATGACATTATACAAATCAATTAACTATTATTAATTATTGTGTATTTCAAATTTACTATGTGTTTTGTGTTATAATTACAGTAATGTTACAATGTTATATAATTTAATGTGTTAATGCAATGCATATAGAAAAAATTTTTTCTCAATTCTTTAAAAATATTGTAATTTTTTTTATTATCATTATACTACAGATTTAAAATAAAGCAAACTTATCTTTGTAAACAAAAATAATCTCATTTTGAAACCACAAAATATATATGAACAATATATAAATGCTTTCGCATTTTTTAAAATGGTAGAAAGTCACAATATTGTATCAAATAAAAAGAAACTTTAACTTAAAATACAAAGTAGTTAGTAAAAAGATAAAACAAAAAATAAGGATTATATTGAAAACCTTATTTCCAATCTATTAAGAACACCTATTTAACCTTTTTCCTTCACCTTTTTTTCATAATCTTTATAATAAAAATTCATAATCAAACCTAGAAATTCTTTTCAATTCCTCTAATAATGCATCAGTGCAAAAACAATCTTTTGCTTATATTCAAAAAGCCAAGGCTGAAGTATATGAATATACTAAGCTATCACATGCAGCAATATCATTAGAATTTTGTTTACAATTTTTTCAAAGATTAAAAGGCTTGAGAAGACTATATTTATAGAGGAAGCAAAACTTAAACGATTAAATGCAGCAGCCCAAAAATGAGCCTGAGGAAAAAAAGAACAAATTAAAAAAAGAAATGTTGTAAAAGTATACAATACATCAGGTTGTCCATCATATTTGATGAATGATCCTAATTTTTTAAAAAAAATACATGATTGTGTTAAGTTTGAAGCTGCTAATTATAAAATGCATAAAGAAGTAATTAAAGTGTGAACAGTTAAACATCTTTATAAGAAAATAGAAGAAAATTATGATGTACATATGTCAAGATCAACAAAATTATATGCAAACACGAAATTTAGAAACAAAATAAGTCAATCAACAACACTATCCTACTCAAATACGATTAGCAGCAATTGGATGGACTGAGATAAAAGTTTATGTTGATGAGCATTATTGTTTAGCGTTATTTAAGGATGTAAAATCAATGGCATCAGCTTTTTTAAGATATTTTGTTGATCGCGAAAGATGATAAAACTAAGGTAATTAATTATATTTATTTTATAATATTTTTTTAAGAAAATTTCTAATTTTTTAAGATTTATAGGTTCCTCTCAGAATGGCTACTGTTGAAGAACTTTCAAGGCTGTACAAATAGTAAATAAACTAGTTATAATTTTTGATCATAATTTTCTGAAAGCTGCAAAACATAAGCTAATTTCTTCTGTTTACTTAATAATCAATCCATCCAATATAATTGATTCGTTATGAGTGGGTAAAATACAAATTCTTATTCGTTCTGAGTATTTTTTGGATACAACATGTGAAACACATATGATAAATCTTATGGAAATATTAAAGAACAAATCTTTTCATGAGTTTACACATCATGAAGGATCTGTAAAACCATTTTAGTATTTGCTAACAGATGGCGGACTAGATGAAAATCTTTGATTTTTTGCTAATATTACCAAGTATTTATTAATTTTTAAAAAACTTGACTTGGATTATCTTACTATTCAGATACATACTCTAGAATAATCAGCTTTTAATCAAGTTAAATGAAATATAACAACACTTTCTGATAAATTAGCATTTATGAGTTTACACATCATGAAGGATCTGTAAAACCATTTTGGTATTTGCTAACAGATGGCAGACTAGATGAAAATCTCTGATTTTTTGCTAATATTACCAAGTATTTATTAATTTTTAAAAAACTTGACTTGGATTATCTTACTATTCAGATACATGCTCTAGAATAATCAGCTTTTAATTTAGTTAAACGAAATATGGCAACACTTTCTGATAAATTGGCAGGTTTGAATTGAATGCATTTGCATATAATAATCATTTTGGAAGTATTGGTAAAAAAGTTACTGTTGTAAATGACGATCCTACTTATTGGGGAAGAACAAAAGTATTGCACAGTTTTGATTTAGATATTTTAGTTAATTTATCATATGTAACTAAGCCATATTTTTTTGTAATTTATTGATTATCGATTATATAAATGAAATATTTTTATTATAGTTTGAATTAATATGTTGCAATTTGTTAAATCGCGCAAGTGATAGTATAATTAAAGGACTTATCTTTTAGAAATAAAGAGCATTATTAAAGCAAAAAATTTGGCTCAATAACTCAGAAATCATAAATATTATAGAATATCATTATACAATAGTTATTTGATTTCTTTTGCAAGAGAAACATCTAAAAAACCAAATATTAAATCTGATATCAAAGTTTAGTACATGCGATAAATTGAAAAGTAATGTGTTTTTAAATTTTCAATTTTACACCTTGCAATGCTTTAATTTTAACAATTATTTAAATATTTTATTAAGTATAAGCCAGCCAATATATTACTAAAAAAATATGATCCAGTTACATATGATAAATTAACTAAAATATCTAAATCAAAATTGTGCAATACTTTTGTCCTCCCCTGGTATCATAATTTTAGGCATGCAGGTGAATGACTCTGTGAACTTTGGAATCATGATAACACTAATGGTCATCCAGTTATTACTACATATGATGTTGAAAACATAATCAGATGGATTTTTTAAGTATAAAAGAAGAATTGTGGAATTGGATTGATCGACATGCTCAAATTTGCAAATATTCTCTTGATTTGAGAAAATGCAAGGATAGAAATTGCTGTAAATAACCATGTGCATCTGAAATTTATGACCTTTTATCTACAAATAATGGTTTTTTACCACCTATTGCGATGGTTATTTTTTTAAGACTTATTCACACTTTAGAATATTTTGGAGAAAAACTACCGGGTTATGATGAACATTGTCCTAGTATTACTTCAGATTTGTATAATAAACTTTTATGCCAAAAGTGCCAAAAATATTTTTCATCAAAACTGTTTTTAAAACAACATATCAAAGTAATTCATTCAAAAGAAAAGCAACAAAAGTGGAAATTAAAGAATGTAAAAATTATGATGGATGTGATGTAAGACATATAGAAAAGCAATTATCTCAACAGGATAAAATAACAAAGAAGAGTAATGTAAAGGGTTCGCGTCAGCAAAATTTGATAACAAAACCTTGGGATCAAATCACTTAACATTTAAGATTAAAGATAATTAATCTTGCTTTAATATGTAATATGATTTTTTTTTATTTTTTTAATTTAGGAACAATTTTAATAAATAATAAAGAACAATATAATAACATTATTCCGCAATGATTACTACCTTTTTAAATGTTTTTTTTTCTCATTAAATTTTTTTCGCTAATATTTAATCAATCAATTTATTAAGAAAAATAGAATAATAGCTAATTAAACTATTAAATTAACTCTCATTAACTAATACACTACATAATCTTATAACTTTAATTAATTACCGGAAAGTAAAAAAAAGATCTAACGCTATGATTTCTTAAAATGGAATTTTTAAAAAATTAAAATGACGTAATAACTGTGACTTCCACAAATTAATTTATATGACTAATGCAAGATTTCTTGAAAATCCATATTTTCATAATCCCATTTAAATAGCTGCTAGGTTGTCCACAACAGCAATCAATTACAGTTATAAGGTATCCGGGAAATGGTAGTGATCCAATTAATGGAAGACAATCTGTGATTGATGAAGAGGATAATGACGATAAGTTATTGGTTGTGACGGTAATGATGAGATTGTTATTGATTCACTTTTGCTATTTATTTTTTTTTGTTTCGTGTTTTATAATTTGTTCGTTTTCCATAATTTTTTATACAGTATTATAATAGGAATAATCAAAAATAATTTCTTGAATCAAAGTTTATTAAGGAGACTTTTGGGCTCTGGATTTGTTTTGGTTTAATCGAAAAGACATCATCATGTATTTGGTACAATTTTTATTATCATACTATTTTTACAATAAAGCAATATCAATAAATAATATTGATCATAATTTTATAAAGATCAGTTTTGTGAAATTTTTAATAAATAAATATATTCAAATAAAGAATTACAATAAACTTCATTCTTTTCAATAAATTATCAAAAAGAAAGTGATTCGCTTAAATTAATTACTTTTATATTGAATAAATAGTTTTTTTTTTAATAAAGTAATAATAATAATCACGTCTTTGCTTCTTCAATTATAATTTCGTCAGAAACAGTTTGTTGCATTAATTCGCCTAAAGATTTTTCAAGAGTGTCTATTCGTGATCCCATATCATCCACTGTAATTCCAATTAAAAATTTTTAATGAAATTGTAAAATTAGAATTCCAAATATTATTAAATATACATTACTTTTTGAGATTAATTGTGAAGACAAATCATCAAATTTTGCTTGCTAAAATAAAAAAAAAATTAGCAAATTAAAAAAAAAATAAAAAATAAAAAACTACACCATAAAACATGAATCAGTACCAATTGTAGAAGAACAGTTTCGACCTTAAATGATAAATAGAAAACAAAATTAAAAAAAATTTATAAATTCAATTAATTAAATAAAACTTAACTTACATATGCCGTAAGTTCCTGAGGTGACTGTATATCTGCTAGAACAGAATTTTTAGGGGTTTCTTCGGTTTTTGGTTGAGAATTATCAATTGGAGGTAACGTTTCTGGTGGTGGGACATTGGACATGTTTAAGTTTTCGTTGCAGAATTTTTGAAAAACGCCGTCTATATTATATTGTTGGTGACGGCCAATTGGTCGAATTTCACGTGGACCTGCGTCACGGCATATTAGGTTTATTTTTTTTTTTTATGAATTACAACTATAATACATTCCCACGATATTAATTTTTTCTTTCTTTCCTTTTCTTTCTTTTCTTTCTATCGAAATTATTGTTACATATTATTTGATTGTTTATTTAATCTTAAAGCCCAACTTTTTTGTTAAATATGGTTTGGATTCTTTTTTTTTTATACGTTTTCGCTTTCGAGGCAACGCGTCAAATTCGCTAAGGCTCTAAAACAATATGTAATTGACTTCTTAAAGCATTAAGTTTAGTCAAATTTCAATGCAATGCGTTATCTAAAATTTTTAAATTTCAATTAAAGTATAAGAATCTGTAAAAAAAAAAAAAAAAAAAAGTTTTACATTTCAATTCTACCGTACCTGGAAATAAATCTTCTATTACTAGGAGATCGTCTAGACTTTATGGCCTTTTTATATTGTTTTACCACGAGAGGAATAGGAAAAACTTCACATATTAATGCTACCGCATTTAAGGTAGCATAAATTTCCACAGGTCGTTCTTGTTGCGGAAAAAGCCACAAGATTACTATCAAAAAGCATTAAGATTATTTTTAAAATTTCATTGCGAAGATTATTCATACGGCGAAGAAAATTTCATCAATCAAATTTATCATACCACAAATACCGTATTGTACCAAACTTCCTACATTCCAAAATAAAAGGACAACCAAAAGTTTTCCAGGCGAACATATTAAATCAGCTTTCGTCGCCTCATATAAATACCAATCATAACTCCTATAAACATTCTTTTGAGTTTCTTTGATGTTCGGTGGAAATAGGTCACTAAGTCGATAATTTAGGTATCGACTAGCAATACAAATTTTTATTGCTCTCGGTAAATTAATAATTCTTTTTGGATGCGCTATAATTGTCAGAAGTGTAAATTCGGCATTGACAACCTACAATTATTTTCATTTAATATATAATTCACAATTAATCTTAAAAAAAAAATCACTTTTTATCGCCAATCTTGATCAACTTGCCTGCATAAGAACTTCCACCCAAAACACTTTCACCTTCTTTTGTTTTATCGAAATCAAATCAATGGTAATCAAAATATAAAGGGCTATAGCGACAGCTAGTCGGAAATATGTAAAAATCTCAAAAACTTTTTTGCTCTTTATAATTATAGTTCTACAACATCCCTCATCTTCACAAAGCGTTTCCTTTGATTCTTTCGTAGGAATATCTGTTGTCGTTGTTGTAAGAACTGGTTTATCAACTCGATGTTTAGAAGTGATTGGTGACTTGCCCATATTTAAATATATCGGTGATGTCATTTTTGAATTTCCTTTTAATTTAATGTTCAATACCGTTTAGGTTTATTTTATTCAGTAACTCGATGTTTTTTTTTCTTCTAAAAAGTATCATTCACAGTGATTATTAATTTTTAAAATAAAACGCGAGTTTAAAAAAAGATAATATAAACGATCGACAAAGCCTCAACAAAAAAAAAGGCGGCTTTTTTTGATACTTTTTTCTTTAGGTTCTTCAGAATTACCATCAATTTATCATCAAAAAGTTCTCAGGAAATCTCAATATTTTATTTGCCATCTGTGGCTCCAAAATTAACTACGCCAATTTATTTCGGTTTTTTTCTTTTTGGTCGATATTTATATAAAATTTTTTTTTCAGGTTATTTAACGAGTTGGATTTTGACAAAAAAAAAACAAGATGAAAACAAGTTCACTCTATAGCCACCCTTAATAAATATGATCTGCCACGGAAACTAAACATCGGAAAACGCCAAACTTTAAACAGGAATTTTGTTAGGTTAATTAAGAGGAATATTATTTAAATCTTGCAATGTGCCGCAGTTGACTTGTTTCGTAAGCTAATGTTACCGTTCTTTGTCAAGAAAAGCTCGACAATAACTTGCTCATTAACATGTTTATTGCTTAGACAAACTGCTTAGACTCTATTTGTTACTTATGCAAAAATAGCGACAAATTTATATATTTAAATATATATTCATCTAAGCAATTCTTTTAAATGGATAGTAATAATTACAGAGCCCCTTTTTCGCGAAAACAAAAGATCAAGTGTGGCTTCACTAGTTGATTCGGCCTTATACAACTTGGCTAGTTTAAACCATAAATAATTACTGCTATAAAATATCCATTTAAAAGTTTGTTTGATATATATCATATTGTTGAAAAAATTCTGAAGACAATTATTTTCGTTATTAGTAACATGGATGCGAAAAGAAATTTTGCTACGCAAAAAAATAAAAAACACGTGGCTAGTGAGATTTCTTATTTTGTATCTTTAATTATCGTGGTTTCGTAAGAGAATAAAGTAATTGGCTATTCGTATTACAAAAGCCCGTTTAATGATTGTTTCCGTATTTGGAAGAGAATATTTTACAAATTTCTTTTGGAGGATTTCACGTGACATCTATTTCAATATTCAGTTATTGGTAGCATCTATAATTTGAAACTTTTCTGCGGATTAATGATGTTAAATGGAAGATCGATCTAGAACTAATTATTTGTTTAATATATATATATATTATTATTATTTTTTTTTACGAATAATTATTCTTGCTGGAAATCCAATAGTAACACGATCTAAAGCTTCATTTAAATTTTCTGGGAATTACCGAGAATTTTAATTCTAAGAGATTGATCATGTGATTAGATAAGTGATTTACATATATTTATTGTTTGTTTTGGTAATAATTACGCCCTTTTTTTTCTATTTGTTGAAGTCCGAAAAAAATTATAATTAAAAGAACAAAAGAGAAAATGATAATTTGCTTGATTACAGATTTAATGTATGTTTGTACCGTCAAAGTGACTATGATAAGTGAAAAAAAACGCGAATGTTACCTTTTAGTTTTTGGTGATAGGAACGAGCACAAGAAAGTTTATCGAGAACAATGCATTTTATCATTGACCAATGATATTAAATTTGGTACTTTAGAAATTTATTGAAATTCTCCATAAAATGATTGATTTATTCCTTGTTTTGCGTTAGATTAACATAGGATAGGTGTAAAGGCTGGAAAATAAGCGCACTTTTTACAATTATCGACATTTTGCGTTATCGCGAAATATTGTGACACAGTTGCATTCAGATTTCAGGGTCCATGAAACAAGTATAATAATATATACAATGCGATCACAAACATGTTTAGGTTCTACTTGTACTTTATTTTTTTTTTTTTTTTTAAGGAGCTCATTTCCAATATTTATATTTAAAGGATCGGAAAACGCTGATAAGTTGTTGTACTTTGAATTCGGTTTTTTTTTTTACCATTTAGCATTATTCGAACTTTGCAATCCCCCACAATCTAAATTAAATCTGCAGTTGAATGAATAAATTCCAAATCTGGTTGGAACAATCAAAAAACAGTTTTTGGTATGAAATCATATTTTATCATATTTTTAAAACCGAATTTTCTCGTTTGCTTTCTTGTCCAATTTCTAGTTTCTTCTTGTTTAGTCGATTGGGCTGAAACATCATCAAAGAGCATTTTATAAATCATCCTTTTCAATTATTGTTGTATTTTTTGGACTTATTTCGCTTTTATTTTTGGATTTTTATTTTGTTTGTTTTTTAATTTATATTGCTATTTGTCTTTTTTTTATCTAGTAAAAAAGTAATCCTCTCCAACAGGTTCAACAATTGTATCTAGGTATAAATAAAGTTTTATTTAGTTTAAATATATATAAACTAGTTTTAAGTTACCTTAGCTAACCGGGAAATCCGTGTAACTCCAAACACAAATAAAGTCACATTACACTTTCTTCCTCCACAAAATCCCGTTCTTTTTGTGTCTCAATAAATATTGTATATTTGAATTCATTGATTACTTACTATTCAGAAAAATTCCTATCCATCTAATGCTTATTGAACGGTAAAAAGAATCCATTGAATTTGTAATGTATTTGATTAGATTCTTTTACTTCACGTTTTCTCGCTTTACGTTATGTCACTAATGTTTACATGTTTTCTATCCTTACTATAGATTCCAAGTTATACTCTCTACGCGTTATCCTTTTTTACCCTTTCAACCTCTTTTATTTAATCAATCTTTTTCGTTCTTTTTTATTTCTTTACAAAGTTCTTTTACTTTGCATTTCACTCTTTTCCATTTCACTCTTTTCCTATAGTTCTTTTATTATTCTTGATTCTATCCACCCGAAATGTCAACTTCTATATCACAATATCATGTTATGAGAGCTACCGGATATTATGATATAACTTATGAAACACCGTTGTCAAACCAAGCTTATATTATATGTGAAATAATATCTCATTTAGAAATTCAAACTGACTTGGCTGCTTGTTGTTTGGTATCCCGTTTATGGAATACTTGCGTAACACCAAAATTATGGAAAGCTCCGTGTATGAAACGCGCTTCGACTTTGAATAAATTTATTAGAACATTGGTGAGATCAAAACAGAATTCTGCTTCCTTATATGCTTATGGCTGTTTTATTCAGAATCTCGACTTGTCGCGACTTACACTCGCTTGTTCAGCTGCCGAATTGGGTCTGATATCTGAATGTTGTGGCGTGTTGAAACACCTTGACTTTTCTAACGTTCAAGAATTAAGGGATGATGTTTTGAGTAGAATTGCGGGACGATGTTCGGATTTGAGATCATTAAAATTATTGAATTTACCTCACATTACTGATGACTCTTTGAAGCAGATCATCGATAGGTGTCGATTGTTGGAACATCTCTCTTTTGGTGATTGCACGAACGTTAAGAATGATTCATTAATTAGACTTGCCTATGCGAAACATCTTACGACCCTTGAAATATATATTGGAAACACTATTGAAATTCATACCTTTACGCTTATAACTCAACATTGTTTAAGGTTGAAGAATTTACATATATGGGATTGCGGTTTGCTTGATGACAACGCTATAACCATTATGGCCATTAATATGAATGAGAATTTAGAATCTCTAATCCTTCAAAACCCAAGATATATAACCGATTTATCAATGACACAGGTGGCATTTAGATGCCCCAACCTTCGTCATTTAAGTTTGGAACCATATGAAAGGGTAACAGATGCGACCTTATTCGCTCTGGCTGATTATTGTTTACATTTAGAATCGCTTCAAGTGAACTTGCATAGATCAAAGCACTTTTCAAATCGTGGATTCTTGATGATAGCTGAACGATTGAGAATGCTTAGTAAAGTGACTTTTCAATATTCAACGCCACTTGTCACTGACGTTACTTTAAGCATGTTGGGTATTAGGAATGCCAAAAGCTTAACATATCTTCATCTTTATAATTGTAGCTTTACTGATTCGTCTTTCTTGGTACTTGAAAAGAGTCGTCCACCGATTAATGATCTTTGCTTATTCAATTTACCTGATATTACGGATGAGCCCATAATTGCTCTACTTGGGAGCATTTCTGAAACCCTTACAACTTTACAAATTTCGAATTGTGACCGACTTACCGAAGAAGTATTAATATCTGGTATAAGAAACTGTAGAGGTTTAAGAAAATTAAGTTTATTTTCATCCACAGATTTTACTATTCGTGGTTTAGATGCGATCGTTTCAATATGCTCTCAGTTAAAAGAATTTTATTTATCCAGTACTGAAGATATTCCGAATACGGTGAATTTAATTTTAACCCGTCTTGTTTCTTGTTTCCTTGTTACTTTTATTTTATTTTTATTTTTTAATTAAAGCTTTACTAATAATGATTCTTAATGACATCGTGTAATTTATAATAGATTATCGCACCAACCTTAACGCGTCTAAGGTATCTTGAAAAATTACGAATTCGTGTCTGTCCTAGTTTAACACAGGATGACGTATTGATGATTTGTTGTGGTTGTGCTCAATTACAAGAATTCTTTTTTGGGCGCAGTAATTATTTGAATGAGTCTTTTGTTCAACATTATAATGACGATGGAAGAAAAAAACCCCTTTTAGTATTAGGCCCATAAAATTTGACATCGATTAAATTATCGGATTCATATAATACTTTATTTATTCACATTTTTGAGTTAAAGACTTTATCATTTGTAAGATAGATCACAAAGAATTTGAGCAAAGGATTTTGTTTAAAAAATTTTTTTATTTATTTTTTAAAAAAAAAAAATCTTTGAATGCGACAAATTTTTTTTTTTTCAAATGCTTGTACTACCAACAATTCTATATACCATTTGTACGTTGTACATTGTATGATAATGTATAATAATTAAAAAACCACGAAAAAAAAAAAAATAAAAAAATAACAAAAAATTAACTGGTGTAACAAATTAAATAGATAATCCAATCTTTCATAATTATCAATCTAAATTCCTATACCTTATCTGTTTTTGTTTTTAACGCCCTTTAATTTAAAGTCATGACAGTGGTTTCAAAAGAAGCAATAAAATTACCACCGCTTTCACCTTTCGGAAATGCTATAGCAGGTTCTTTAGGAGCACTTTTTGCTTTGGCTATAGTTTATCCTTTGGATATGTAAGTAAAATTCAAGATAATATTTTTTAAAAAGATTTGTTACAGTACCAGAAACTAAAAAAAAAAAAAAAAAAACTCCCTCTAGTATAAAAACTCGACTTCAAATTCAATCGAAGAGTTCGTCAGCCAATGATAATTACTATGAATCAACGGGAGATGCGATATATAAAATAATTAAAAGAGAAGGCATTTCTGGTTTATATGCGGGATTACCAGCCGGATTAATTGGAGTTGCATCAACCAATTTTGCATATTTTTATTGGTATTCATTTTTACGTGCGAGGTATCAAAATACCATAACGAAAAGTTCGAATACACAACAATCCTTGTCAACAATATCAGAATTATTATTAGGAGCATTGGCGGGAGCGCTTGCTCAAATATTTACAATTCCTGTATCAGTAGTAACGACAAGACAGCAAACGGCAAGCATTGAAGAAAGAAATGGATTAATCGATACAGCGAAAGAAATCGTTTTGGATGATGGTGTTACAGGGTTATGGAAAGGATTAAAACCAAGCTTAATATTATGTGTTAATCCTGCAATTACGTATGGAGCTTTCGAAAGATTTAAGGATATAGTTTCAAAAAGGTTATCAACTAATGGAGATAATCAACGATCACTTGGTCCTGCTATAATTTTCTGGTTAGGAGCATTAAGTAAAACTATTGCCACTATAGTTACTTACCCTTATATTATGGCTAAGGTTAGATTACAATGTAAACCACCAAAGGATGAAGTTGTATTTGATGAACGTAACGGAAAACTTGAAGAGGATTATTTTAACATAGTTGAAAGCCATGAAAGAAAATCTATTAAACATGCAAGATATACCGGAGCGATTGATGTGTTAAAAAAAGTCTTAGAAACTGATGGTATTCTCGGATGGTATAAGGTAGACAAATTTTTTCTAAGAATGCTACACCTTTTTTTATTTTTATTTTTATTGTTATTTTTATAAAGTATATCTAAAATTGTTTAGGGGATGCAAGCGCAAATCACAAAAGCTGTATTATCTCAAGCTTTATTATTTTATGTTAAAGAATATACCACTAAATACACCATATTACTTCTCGCTTTATTTGCAAGATTGGCATCTAATAAAAAACGAGTACAGTAAGCTGTTTTTTTTTTACCGTCGTTAGATTATATTTATTATATGTTGGACTTTTTTTTTGATTTATTATAAATTTTAAAATTTATACTTGAAATAATAAGATTATATAGAAAGCAAACTTATAATTTAATGAAACGAAAATAATTGCTGGTATAATGCGTGTATTAGGCATTCCCTTGAGGAATTAATCATTGCAAGGATTAATAACATATAATTTTATTTGATAATAAAGTGAAGATTGTAAAAAAAATAAAATAAAATAAAATAATTTTTGCGGAGGAAAAAATGAACCACCCAATATATCCAAATGTTATTAATAATTCTCATGAGCTCCCCCAAAACATCCCTTATGCCCTACCTTTACGTTTTTGTATTTTACTTTTTGAAGTAACAGAGATTTTCGGACCTTTTTGATTGTGTTTTCTATACATAGTTGATAAAGGTATATAAGCAAAAGGATCGGGTTTACCTTTCTTTTTAATGTCGCCACCAGCATTTTTAGCTTTATATTCTTTACCAATCGTAATGACTTTATTGGTATTTTTTATCGGATTTTTACGCTTTTTATTTCTTGACGCAATAGCGTCTATAGGTTCAATATCGTCTATATCCATGTCATCATTTTTCTTATTTCCTTTTTTAAATTTAATTTTATTCCTTTGACCACGGGTAAATCCATCACCTGATTTTTGGGCTTCTAAATAGTGATTATCAGCTTCCTGCATCATAACGTCAGAAGAATTCGTTCTTTCACCTTCGGAATTATCAGATTCATTTATAATCATTTTACCATCACGGGTTTCTTTGAATGCTTTTGAAAAATCTTTTCTTTGTTTTCGAACATTTGAAGGATTTAATCCGATTACTTTTGATATTATTCCTCGATCCAAGAAATCAACCGGTGCATCATCTCCATCCTCATCACCTCCTTCTCGAATCCATGAACCATCTTTCTTTTTCTTTGAAGGTTCCTTATTATTATTCTTCTTAATTTCACCACTTTTATTAATATTACCTCCCACTTCATTTTCATCATCAGTATCTTCCAAATCACTTTCGCTTCCATATAAAGCATCTTCATAAGCGCTATTGAAAGTTGATCTCTTCCCTTTATATTTTCCAATACGATTATCATCATCATGTTTATCATCTTTCTCCTCCTCCACTTCCTCATAATCATCATCGATCACATTTGTTTCAGCGGCAATCCTTTTTCTTTTTGCGCGTTCCCTTCTCTTCTTAATATTTATTAATAATTTCTTATCACTTTCAGGTACATATTGTTCAATGGTATCATAACCAAATCTCCTGATTAACCTTTCAAAGATGTGTCTAACTTTCACTTTAAAATGACTCTTGTGTTCATTTGACCAAGATAATATACCGAGAATGATTTGAGATAAATGAGGAGTCAAAATATCCACATCCAAAGAAATCGTAGTCACTTTAACGAAACCTAACGCGGCTTTAACAATTTCTCGATTAGGACAATTGATAAAATTATTCATCGTATCAATTAACTTGTGAATAGAATCCTTATCAAGATCAATTTTAAATTCAAATAATAACCTTGACAAGGATGTGATGGTGGCGCTTATCATGTGTGGTGTGGTCGCCGCTAATCCTGCTATCACCATGTTAAATATAAATTCATCAATTGACGCATTCATTACGTCTGATGAGGTTGGGGAGGAGGATGAGTCAGATTCTAAAATTTTACTCATAATAATGGTTCCACCTTGTTTCATTTTATTACCCATCACTATTAAACATTCATAAGCATTTATCCTTGCCTTTTCATTAACTTCTTTTGTACTTAATATAACTTCCGATAATACATCAGGTATCATATGAAGGTCCGATGAAGGAAGTAATTTGATCACATTAATCAATGTTAATAACCTATCTTTTTTTGAAGCCGAATTTGAATTCATCGTGGAATTTCTTAATTTAATTTGTAAATCTTCAATGTGATTTAGTATCATTATTTTACCATTCTCAGTCTCCGCTAATGAATTCATTATCTTGTAAGATTTCTTTTGTAACGTTGAATCATCTTGAGAAAACAATCCGGTTAAGACCTCATAAAGTCGATTAATTGATGTCGTATCAAGGTAAGGAATCATGGTAATTGTTAGGTCCAACATTGTGTAAGACATTGGAGGTGAAGTTGTTTCAACATCTTGAGAGGAAGAAAGAGGAGGATGAGGAGGAGTCGAATTTGATAAAGATTGTTGAAGAAGGTTCATAACTTTGGCAAAGGTCGTGGTAATATCCTTTGCAAGAGTGATAGTTAAATAAATTTTAATCACTTCTAAAAGATATCCCCTATAAGCAGGTGATGTTTGAGAATATACATTAAAGAAAACTGCTAAATAATTATTCGAAAACTTTGTCAATAATTCTAAATTTTTCTTCGCGTCATTTTTGTTAATACCATATAATTTTTTTAATTCTTGATCATTTTTCTCCGAATCTAATAATAACTTATTCTTTTCAACTAAATTTTGTAAAGCTAAAGCGATAGTAGGACGTAAATCAGGTTTTTGATACATCTTATTACTTAGCAATTCGCCAAGGGACTTGTTAAAATTTTTTTGTAAATCTGTTGGTAAATTACAAAATCCTGGTAATAAAGACCAAATTTGTTGTACCAAAGTATCATAAATTTTTGATTCAATTAAACGATTTTGTTGTTGAAATTCTAAAGTTCTTTGTTGTAACCTTTGGCTTAATGGAATGAATTCTTTTAAAAAATATTCCAATTCTGAATTAACAATATGATCTTTTAACAAAGGTAATAACCATGCTCTACCGGTATGATTCTTGATCCCAGGTGATTCCAAGTTTAATGGTAATATATTTAAGAGAAATCTTGGTCCCATATTTTCAATAGCAGATCCTATCACCACATCCGCTTCTTCTTTTAATTCAAATGATTGATCCATTCTAACATCTGTCACGATTTTTAATAAATTGACGAGTAATTTTCGTGAAGATCGATGAAGCCTTTGAAATAATGATTTAGAAATCTCTAAAATTCCAGGCCAAGAATTTTTATATTTAATGACGAATCCACCTTCCACCGTTGAAATGATAATATTTAAACAATCTCGTTGTTGATCTTTATCATTTAATGTTTTTTGAATCATTTCATCGGTAATTCCAGATGAGATTAATTCACAAAGACATAAAGTGGCGGTTATAATGATATCGGAATCATCACTTTCTAAAGTTCCAAAGATCTTTATAAAAAATTCTTGCAACATCTTTTCAGTTCCCTCTTTATTACATTCTAAGTAAATTGGAAATCCTCTTGTTATAATCATCAACCATTGGGGTAAAAGTTGTGGGTCTTTAACATTTGGCATTAAATCCATCAATGCTAACAATAACTCCTTAAATCTAACATTATGATGTTCTACCACCCCTTCCCCTCCTTTTTGATGTTCTTCAAGGATGAATCCTTTTGAATTATTTTGAAACAACTCTTCAAATAATTGAAATGATGATATAGTTAAATATTTTTGATTACATTTCGGTATAAAGATTAATATCTCTAATAATGAATAAATGTTATCGATCGGCCAAAATTTAACGATTCCTTTTAATAAATTTAGAATGTATAGAACGGAAGTTTGATCGGTTTTAATATATTCTTTAAGCACTTTTGTACAAAATTCCATCGTAATCATAATCGCTGGATGTTTATTCCTATTAGGTTCTCCTCCGGGACCACCTTTTCCCCCGTCTGATGAGATTATCGAACTTAAGATTTTTTTGATAGCATCATGAACTCTTTTCCTTGGTTTTGGTCTGTGATCCAAAGAAAGTAATAATAAATTTTGAAAATTTTTCTTTGTTTGAATTTGTTGCCAAATAGTTATTTCTTGAACAATTAATAAATTTTCCAAGCAACCAATGATACTCCTTATGATGGCCGAATCATCTTTTCTTAACTCAAAAGAATCATTCAATACCGACAAGACTATTGAATATTTATTTTTTAATATCGTTGAAGGTGTTTCTTTTAATACGATATTTAATAAATATAATATTGACCCAATTACATTTTCTTCTGAGCGAGATTGCTGCTGTTGTTCTAATGTTGTAAGTAATGCTGCAAAGTAAGAGGTTGCACTTAATATGACACTTTGTTCCTTTATAGTTTCTTCTATTGCCAATAATGTTATTGCTATTTGTTTTTGATTATCAAGTTTTGAATTAATTTGAGCACGAATTCTTTCAAATGTTTCTTCCATTCTTCTCCGAAAGTTTAAAAAAAAAGTGAGGAATTGATTAAAAAAAAAAATAGATAATCAATCAACGGCATTATCAATCACGTGAGAAATACGAAACGTGTTGATTTAAATCTGCTTACTCTTTAAAGTCCGTACCACATCGATTAATGATAAAGTGGAATCCAGCGAGAAAGTACTGAAGATAGGCGCTTTTAAAACGATGAAAATGATTGAAGATCCTTTACGACAACATATAATTTGGGCCTGTAAAAGTATTTTTGGAATCGATATATAATATATTTTTCTTTTTATAATTTCGGTGAATGTATTTTCCTCCTTTTATTAAATGCAACTCCGTAAATCAAATGATTTTCATCTACCTAAAAATAATGTGTTAATTGGTAATCAGCATAAAGTGGAAGAATTCAGGAGACCGAGGAGATCGAATGCGTATTTGGCAGTTCTTTTATTTTAACATCAGGGAACCAATCAGATCTGCTCCTGCGAATTTCCCCAAATTTTCAAGTAATGTGATGTTATGTGATGTCGTTAGGTAAAAATAAATAAATAAATGAATGAATTGAATGAATTTGACATTGTTAATTTGAATTAGTACTGCGGAGACATAAGTTGAAAGACGTTCATTTAAATATAAAATCTTTCATCCATTCTTATTCACGATGTAATATGTTTGCTTTATAAATGCGGAATTAATGATTATAAGGCGAACACTCTCACCCGAAATTTTTTTAAAAAAATTTGAACTATGATGACTTATTGAATATTACTTGGTTGTTTTTAGTTAACAAAATAATTTAAATTAAATGTTAATTTATTTATTTATTGGAATTTATATTTGATTACCAAAAACTTTTCAAGCAAATGGTCGATCCCGCAACAATTTGATATCATAAGCGTGGAGTTTAAATTGTTTAACGCCCCGAACATTTAATAATTATAATTATAGATCAACGACCGTGCGGGAAAACAAAAATTATCCACAATGAGTGTTCAATATGACTAAATCATTTCGGTTCAATAAAAGGAATCTTTTTTGGGTTTTGTTTGTTTGGTTAAGGTAATTAATAATTAATGTTTTCCCCCCGTATAACGTGCACACGAGGTCACTTTACATCACACCGAAAATTTACGTGTACGAATTTAAAGTTATATGAAACTTAAAAATTATAATGATGTAATTTGGAGGATAGGTAAAATTCAATGAGAATTTCTCCTCAATAAAATGTATAATTGCTTTAATAATCGTAATAGAAAAAAAAAAGATTATTAAACAATTTTTTTTCACAGCGATTGTATAGTATATTTTTTTTTTAAAAAAAAAGAAAGTATAAATAGAGTAACGAGGAAAAAATGCATTTAACATTCTCGTCAATCTTTTGGGTTGTACAAAAAAAAAATAAGCTGTGCATGCTATATTTCTTATGTTACCATCATCTTCATCCATCATATTATTATTATTATACTATTTGTTACTTTTTACGTTGAGAAAATATTATAAAAACGATACATTTTCCATTCTCTTGTTAAATTTTTTTTTAAAAAAAAATTTATCATTCATTCTGTTAGTCAAAAATCAAAAAAAAATTCTTAATATAATTTATCTATCTAATTTTCGGTAATATCACATTATTATCACAGAGATAGATATTGCTTTAACATTACGCATCTTTATAAAAAGTACCGCCAGCTTTCGTGATTTCTCCCGTGAAAAGACCCAAGGTATGGCTACAACTGTCGCTGATGCTTGGGTTAGGATAAAAGATCCCCAGTCAAATACCATGTTTTACGCTAACCCGGTAAGTACTCGTCCTTTTCTTTGGAGATGATCTTTACGATCCTCCGGCGGAAATGACTAATTGCTTTAATTTTTAATAGGCAACCGGTGAATGTCTATTGGAAAAACCAAGGAATTTACAATTATATCCAATATTAGGCGATGAATGGTGGGAATTATGGGATGATTTTCATCAATTACCTTATTATTATCATACTGTTTCAGGTCAAACTGATTGGGCCGTACCGTCAACTGGAACAATTATTCCCCTAAGAAAAATACAAAACTCTTCAATTGGAAAAAGATTATCCGCCGTATTCGCTCAAGATGATAATTTTGACATTATAAAGGCTGCCACTGGAAACATTTCAAAACAAATTAGAGCTTCAGGATCGTTATTAATCCCTAATGGCAATAATCAACAACGATTGGCTACGGCTTCGATAAAAGTTTCTCATCACAAAAGTGAAGAATTTACCGTTGTTACTTCCGACTTTCCATCATCGTCATCACGTGATGTTGATTCAATTAGTGATTCGAACCGAATCACGCTTAACGATTCGGAAAACGCGAAAGATTTTTCTCAAAATTCTTCAGATAATTCAAGTAACAGTGAGTCTGATGTTGATGTGTTAACACAGGTAAGGGTTCCGGCTCTCTTTAAGGATTTAACAAATTTTAAATTTTAACATGCTAAATTTCACCTCTCACCCCTCCATATTTGTTTAGAAGCAGTCAAAAAGAAATAATTCTTTGTCAACAAAATTTTCGAAATCACGTACAACTTCATTTGATTCAACTTATGTCGCTTCAACTTCAACATCTCGCCCAGTAACCCTATCTAGTATAAATACAAACAATAACGAGTCCGATGTGCATGTACATCATGTAAATCAGCAACAACCCTTCATGGCTGTTTCTCCAAAAAAATCCTTTTTGGCCGCTGATAAAGCACGTAAATCTGGTATAAGTAACCCTGTAGTAAATATTGGTAAGTTTATTTGTATTATTTTTAGATTAAGGTAAAACTTTGAAGTATCTTGGCGGATAGTTATAATCGTGCATTGCATTACATGTGCATGACATATTCTATTTATATTATTCTGCACGGTCTTTTTATATTTAGTTATTATTATGGTTGATTGGAATTTATATTGATTTGTTTATACATATAATTTAGTTTTATCAGTTATCGCTAAAAAATTTTTTTTTTTGTTTGTTTTATTTTTTATTTATTTATTTATTTTTTTTTGTTTCAGATGCTGCAGCTGCAATGAAGCCTACTGGGAGCTTATATCAGGATCTACGACGTAAAAAGCCGGCTTATCAGGTGCATACAAGGAAGTTAAGTACTGGGTAAGTGTTCTAAAAAAAGATTTTTTTTTATTTCCCCTCTTTTCGACTTTTTTTTTTCCTACCCTTCTCTCTCTCTTTAATAAAGAGAACAAAATTCTTTCCTTTTTCGTTTCTTAAAATAAATTAAATATTAAAAATGGATTGGATATATTCAAGAAGAAAATCGATTTTAGAGCAAATAACTGCAAATATATTAATACCGATTTTTGCTTGGTACAAAAATAGGGAGGTTATGACCTTACCACCTGAATTACAAAAAGATATAAATCAATTTAAAATTGATGGTTTCGCTAGAAAGTATTTTAATACTCATAAAAAAGGAATATTTAGAAAGAAAGTACCCGTAGAAAAGATGTTATTATTTCAAAAGGTAATGTCAAAAAAAGGAAGCGAAGTAAAATGTTCAAAACTTACCCTTCTTATTTATTATGTTAGGATTTGATTAATCAATCTTTGATGGTTCTTAATTCTAATGTACAAAAAGATGCAATAAAATGTTTTAAAGTAATTCAACGTATAATGGGAGATCGATCTAAGGGAAGGAATGGACCTGCAAATGTGCTAGAAGATATACAATGGTTGCTAGATCGAGGAATACTGCATGGTGAATTGAGGGATGAAATTTATGTACAAATTTGTAAACAATTAAATGATAATCCCAATGTGTAGGTATTATTAAATTTGAAGAGAACTAAGCAAGAAAAAGTGTTAAAAAAATTTTTTTTTTTTATAATAGGGAAAGTATAAGGAAAGGATGGGAATTATTAAGTGTGATAACTGTTACATTTCCTCCTTCAAAAAATCTTGAAGCATATTTAATGCAATATATTGTAGACCATTTTTCAAAAACTGAAAATCAAGTTGATATATTGAGTAAACATGTACATAATCGCTTATTGAGAATATGTAAACGAGGTCCACGTGGTAAAGTGCTGACATTGGCTGAAATTGAGAGAGCTAAGGTAAGTTTAGGGGAAAAAATTTCTTTTTAATAACTCAAGAGACAATTTTATAAACTTTTTTTTAAATTCATCTTTAAAATAGGAAGCACCTTTTAGTCCTTCAGTGTTTGGTGAAAACTTGGGATTTATAATGAAATTACAAGAACAAGCTTTTCCACAACTTAAAATACCTAGGATATTACCATTTCTTGCACACGCTATTTTAAAATTAAATGGTCAATCTAGTGAAGGAATATTTCGTGTACCAGGAGATGCTGATTATGTAACCGAATTGGTTAGTAAATTGAAGTGTGATGATTTCAAATATTTAAAAATGAAATGATTTTAATGTCTTATCTTTTCTCTTTTTAATTTAGAAATTGAGGATAGAAAAAAATAGATATGATATGAGTGGTATAAATGATCCAAATGTACCATCATCTTTATTAAAATTTTGGCTGAGAGATTTGGCCGAACCACTTATACCTGACATATTCTATGATAAATGTATTAAATTTTCTGAAGACAAAAATGCTGCCGTTGATATTGTCAAGGAATTACCTTTAATTAATCAAAGAGTTGTTGCTTTTACCATTAATTTCTTACAGGTTGGTAAATTAAAAAAAAAGTTTCTTTTAGGGTGAATCTTTGAAGGATGCTAATTATTTGTTTCGTCTTTTCCTTTTTTTCCCTCCCTTAAACAGAAATTTGCCGATCCCAAAATGATTAGGATGACAAAAATGAATATACATAATTTGGCTATGGTATTTGCCCCAAATTTCTTAAGATGTCCTTCAGATAATTTAGCCGTAATATTTGAAAATACAAAATATGAACAAGCATTTTTAAGAACTTTATTAATAAATTTAAATAGTAAAGATTTTTTTAATGATGTTGACGATATATTATTTGTAGAAGATAATCATGGTATTGGTAATAATAATTATAACAATTTTAAAGAAGGCAGTAGTAATAACGATAAGGGTGACAATGGGAATAATAATGAAAATGGTAATAGGGATTTTAATATGATAGAAAAGTATAATAAAGGTGAAAATGGTAATAATAATGATGGAAATTTTGGTGGGGGTCAACAACTAAGTTAAATTTTTAAAAAGTATTATTATATATATAATCATACAAGTATAATTATTATTTTTTTAGGGAATTTTGTTGTAACTTTACCCTAAAACGAAATCTTTATTTGTTAATTTTCCTAATTAATTTTGACAATTCTTTTTTTTGAAAGAAAAAAAAATTCCAATGAAATCAAAAAAAAAAAAATCGGAACTTTGTCGAACAGTTTTTATAATGATATTAATTTTAGGTAATCATGCATTATATGCAGCCACACGTGATATTACGGTTTTTAATACTGTCCAGTATTAAATAAATTAAATAAATTAATTGGCAATTATCCTTACTCTCAGTTTTTCATAATAGTGAGATAAAACATTTTAAATTAATCGTATGTCACGGTCACCCAGTTTTTGTGTGGCTTTACAAATTTCAATGCTTACAAATTTTTTTTTTTTCATAAATAACCATATTATTTTTACACATATATGTCATCATTTTAAATAAATCGATTTGAAACAACGCATCGTTGAGTTGAGGTTGAAAATGCCGAGATTTATATCGAAAATGTGTGAAAGATCCATCTGATTACCATGCATTCCATCAAGCCGTAAAAAATCAGGTATGTTTGTCTTTATATATCATTGTGTATAATTAACGCAGTTAAATTGCGCCAAGATACGTTTATATCTGATATGACAAAATAAAGGTGAGCAGCATATCCAATAGTTTTTCTTTGGCGTGATGAAAAAAATGAAAAACATTGTTCTTTCTCGAAGAGAAAAGTACGATGTATGCCGCTTGAACAGCCAATTATATTTCGGGATCGGGTGTAACCTATTTTTTATTATGCCTTTCTGTAAACCTTTTAAAGTGTTGCTATTTTATCGAGTTTATTTTTTAATAATATAGATTAAATAATTATTAATGAAAATCAATAACTATCTAGCTCAATAATTATTAACGAAATTTAAAAATCCTTTATTAATGACGCTTTTTTTGGTTCTTTTTATTGGATCTTGAAGATTATCTTTCAAAAAATCTCCATTTGATTAATATAATTTGATCAATTTAATGGAGATATTTTAAAATATTAGCAGTTTATAGCATGTAATACAAATAAAGAACTTGCAAATATAACATTAAGATTATTTAAAATTGTATAAATAATGCTTCTCTTAAAAGATAATTTTCAACAATAGGATTTTTTTTATTTAAATAGGTGTAATAGATTAAACGGGAACCGTTATAAGTCCGGAGCTTTTTTATATAATTTAATAATAATAAAGTTTTACACTAATTACAGAAATG